AACAAAAGTGAAAAATCCCCCCCCCCCCCCCCCGGGGGATGGCCATGCTGCAATCCCTTCTCCATTCTCCACTCGGGATCTTGAGCATGCATGCACACTGGGTCCGGGACTCAAACTGCAGTCGACTACTTGAGAGTCCAGGGACATAGCCATTATGCCAACTGCTGGTCCCACATGATTTCCTTTAGAGAAATATAGATTATCTGCATTTCATGCTCTTAGTCCACTACTTACAAGCAGCAAAGAACTTGGTAACTCTGTATATTGTATTTTCAAACATTTGTGGAAAACCAGGAGCTATAATTATGTTGACTGACTGTTTTTAATATAACTGAACAAAGTGATGAACTGAAAGGATGAACTTCGAGATTAAAATTTCCATTACCAGCTCAGCATAAATAGCCTAAGAGCTTCTAAGTGTGCCTGGAGGGAGAATCCTTTCCCCTGTAGCCATAGGGGAAATTACTGAAAATAAAACCTAAGCCCTCATCTTGCAGTTAGGTGGCTGAATTACAACATAACTGGAACTCTGGGTCTGCCAGTGTCTACTGTTAAAGTGAGGGCATTGTTTGGGAAATAATGGAATCCTGTAAGTTGGAATAAGGACATGTGGGAAGTTCACCCTATGAGGCTGAGAACGCTGAGCTCCTCAATTCTGAGTCTTAATTGCTATTTGAATGGACTCCTCACCCACAAGGTCAGCAGCATCCAAGCTCACACCCAGCCCTGCCACCAGCCTTTCTGGTATTGGCTTTTCCACCTCAGTCTGAGGGAATTAACTCTGCATTGCCTAAGGGAATGGTAATGGCCTCTCCTGGAACAGTTTTCAAGCAAAACAATGCTAATTCTCAGGACCCACCCTCTACCATCCTTCCTTGTTTCTATACCTGTAACTAGACTCAAGTTCCAGGAGGCACATAAATGTAAAGTACAAAGTATGACCTGTGAGGAAGTGTACCATACTCCAAAGAACTACTTGCATTTTCTAATTGATAAAAACAGAAGTCAAAATAACATGTGTGGTATTCAGGTTGTGAGATGATGACAAGGAAAATAAAGTTGGATCAGGCTGACTATATTGATGTGGGCCTGCAAAGTCTGCATTTATTGTGCAGCTTGGGAAGGTAGGAAAGATGCTAACCATTTGGTTAGTTGACTGAAACATGAATCAAAGGGCCTACCCTGAGCTAGTTAGAGATACTCAATCTCCTTTGATTTAACTTAGTGGAATGGTTTCAAAGGTTTAGGGAGATTGGAATGCTAATATGGCCACAAATACTTTTAGAAATAGATTTATAAGCGGGACCCCAGCATCCTTGAAGAGTTTGATGATTGCTTTATTTGTAGACTGGACCTTACTGTGGAAGCCGCCATCACTCAATTAGAAACTGTAAATGCAACAGGAATAATTGAATTCTGGACACCAGGGGCCAAGAAGCAACACTGAACCATCAGAGGTAAGGCGAGTGTAATTACTGCAGTAGAGAGCAAAGGCAGAGCAACAATCAGAATAGTCTATTTAGCTCTTTGGCATTGACTAGTTAATCATGGTTTTCCTTGAAGTAGATAAGCCTACTAAATTCTTATTCGATTTGTGTAAACAGAAAACTTTCAGGTCAAATAAGTCAAAGTCTGACTTTATAAAAACAGAATCAGTCTCTCAATCACATTCTATATTTGAGCCTTTTTATAGAGCCAGAACCTTCTGAATAAAGCCTGGGTCCCCTTTAGGAAATAGTGCTAGTCTTTCTTCCCTCTTTCTCCAAAGAGAGACCTACAGCCTTTTTTTTTTTTTTTAAAGAGATTTTTGCTATAGAGTGCATGTGCTTGTTGGAGAGACATACAGAGATGAAAAATGAGAAATCACCCCCCTCCCCAAAAGGGGGATTGGCCATGCTGCAGTCCCTTCTCCCCCATTCTCCCCTTGGGATCTTGGGCAGGCATACACAGACACATGCCCAGTGTGTTTTAATCTGCTGGGTCTGGAACTTGAACCACAATCCACTACATGGAAGTCCAGCAGTGCAGCCATTTCGCCATCTGCTGGTCCCAAGACCTGCAGCCTTTTACTGGAGTAATTGTGCAATGGGTAAAAAGAAACTTATAATCAGACTTCTGGGGACTACTGGATTCTGGCTCTGAATGAATATAGCTTCCTGGAGACTCAGAATATCACTGTGGCCCTGTAGTCAGAATAGGGACAAGTGGAGGTCAGGTAAGTGGAGGTCAGGTGATCGATCAGTGGAGTTTTAGCTCAGGTCTCACTCACAGTGTGTCCAGTGAGTTTCTGAACCCAACTTGTGGTTATTTCCTCAGTCCCACAATGAACATATTTAGCAATTAGCAAAATTCCCACATTGGTTCCATAACCTGTGGAATGATGGCTATTATGATGGGAAACAGCAATAGAAGCCATTAGGTCTGCCTATAACTA